TTATCTGAGGACTGAGGTAAAAATATATATAGCGATATAACATACATATTATATCATGTATATCAGTATGTTATTTAATGCTATATCAGCAGGAGGAAGCAACGTTTCGGGAGACTATTAGTTGCTGTGTTTTACTGTGTAACTCATTCTTGTGATTTAATACAAGCTGCTGTCATTAGATCGTATCGTGTTGATGTTATTGTTTTGTGCTTTATTGTTGATGATTTCCGGTCGCTGAGTAGAAATTAGGAATTTACTTTACATTTCGCATTGGTTTTTTTTTTAATTTCAAGAATTATGGAATTATTTTTTCTGCAGATTTGGCCATATAATATTATAACATAGCAGACCAATGTCACAGCTTCCCTTAGACAGTACTAAACGTACTGTAGTGCGACACGTACTGTAGTGCGACACGTACTGTACTGCGACACGTACTGTAGTGCGAAATCTGAAGTTCGACAAGACCTCCTTCTTTCGCACTAGAGTTAGTGTTAAGTGTCGCACTACACTCCAGGTAGCGTACTGTAGTGCGACACCAGATCCTGTCATATTTCCAAGTTCAGGTCAGGTCCTATCCTTCTTATGGACCATTAAGTGATTCGTCGAGTCGGCTCATGTCACGTATTTCGAAGTGATCCACTGATCCAGTCGTAAGCAGCAGGTGATCACAATTTCCTCGGGTCGGTTCAAGCCATGTATGTCCAAATGATCCACATCGTATAAAGACATATCTCTGATTGGGATAACAAGTTTATATGCTTGGGCCATATAAATGGTCACGATGAGTTCTTGTCGCACTACAGTCTAGGTAGCGTACTGTAGTGCGACATTGTCGATCTTGGAGGTTTTCGCACTAGGGTACGTGTCGCATTAGGGTACGTGTCGCACTCCAGTACAGGAATCCCCTTGCTTCAATCTTTGAGACTAGACGGAATTCTGTAAATTCCGGGAAATAAGCAATATTACAGTTTTCTTTCCAATTAGCTTACTGATGAAATAGATTCCAGCGAAATCGATCTCAACAATTGTATATCGGAGATATTGGTTAGCTGTAAGTACCAACACCCTGATAATATCAAGACCCCTAGCAATCGCGAAATTAAGATACTTTCGTTAAACGTTAGATCACTCGTGAAGAATATCTCGAATTTTAGAGAAGAAATAGAAACATTCTCCAAATTTGACCTCATCTGCCTCAATGAAACCAACTGTAAAATTTCTAATCTTCCTAATGGTCTGAACGACATTGAAATCGAACAGTTTTACGAGCCCTTTATCAAAGAACCTGCACGTAAATCTGGAAAAGGAGGTGGTCTTGCGCTCTATGTTAACAAACGCGTTTGTGATTACGATAAAATACAGGAACTCGAACTCAATCTGAGTCCAGAAGAAGTTACTTGCGGAGAATTTCAATTGCTTAAAATCAACAATTTTAAAAACGGAAATAAGACAAAAATCATCGTAAATTTCTACCGCTCGCCATCCACAAGCCCTAAAAAATTCCTTGAAAAGTTTGAAAACGTGCTCAGGGGTCTTGATAGACACTCCAGAAAGCAGATAGTCTTCCTGGGTGATGCAAATATTGATCTTATAAAATACGATACCGACGCTTACAGCCAGGATCTTATAAGCTTACTAGAAAAATATGGGTTTGCCCAGACTGTCTCCAAGCCTACCAGGGTAACTGACCACAGTGCAACGCTTATTGATCACGTGTATACTAATCACGTGACCAACGTTATTAGTTGTAATGTCGTGACGTTGGATATGTCAGATCAACTCGCGGTTAGCACGACCATTAGTTTAGGAGCCACACCTAGTTTGAACGAGCGATTCCGTAGTCAAGAACAACAACACTAGCTTGAAATTAGAGGCCCGTGTATTTAACGAAGCTAATCATGCTAAATTCAAAGAGCTTATTGTAAGTGAGACCTGGGATGATGCTACCTCCTCAACGTGCGCTGATGAACAATACAATTCCATCTATCAAACGTACATGAAACACTACAATACTGCATACCCCCTGAAGCGCGACAGTTCGAGAAGAAAATTCGAAAGAGCTGACCCAAAGCCTTGGATCTTACCCTGGCTTGAGGCGGCATGCAACCGCAAGAAGTTACTTTTTTTTGAAAAAACTATAAATCCATCACAAAAAAACTGCGACGCGTATGATAAAATGAAAAAGTTTTGTCACAAACATGTGAATCTAGCCAAAGAAAAGTACTATAAGAAAATGTTTGACAAATACCAAAACTGCTCTAAAAATCAATGGAAAATTATCAATGGCCTCCTGAACCGTAACAGAAAAAAGTTCGGACACACCCGTCTGAAGGACGACGATGGCACGATTATAAGCTCCGATCTGGCAGTCGCTGAGAAATTTAACGGCTACTTCTCCGGTATTGCAGCCAGTATCAAGAGGCAAATCGCTGCCCGTCGAACCTTTGACCCAGGTGGTTTCAAGGATTTTCTTAAGGCTTCGTGTAGTAACTCGATGTTTCTTAAGCCTACATCACACGGTGAAGTCCAAAAGATAATATCAGAGCTTAAGAACAAGTCCACACTCGATTGTAAAATTGAGCCATTGAAAATTGCAAACAGCTGCGAAAACTTTACCAGGGCACTAGCTAATGTCATTAACTGTTCGTTCTCCAGTGGTACCTTCCCAAATGCTCTAAAAACTGCGAAAGTCGTTCCTATCCACAAAGGTGGTTCAAAATTGGAAGTAGCTAATTATAGGCCGATCTCTCTTTTGGGATCATTCTCGAAAATTTATGAGAAACTTATGCATGCTCGTGTTTTAGAATTTTTAGATAAGAACGATTCTCTTTTCGAAAATCAATACGGATTTCGGCCAGGAAGATCGTGCGAACATGCACTGCTCAATGCCCAAAATTCTATACTACACTCTCTGAATAAGAAACAAATTTCCCTACTGCTCCTGCTCGATTACAGTAAAGCCTTTGACGTGCTTGATCATGAGACCTTACTTAAGAAGCTTGACCATTGTGGGATCAGGGGAGTCGCGCACGAATGGTTTAGATCTTACCTTTGTAATCGATCTCAATACGTAACTTTAAACGGAACTTGCTCTTCTAGCATGCCCATAGTTTACGGCGTACCTCAGGGTAGCATTTTAGGACCTCTCTTATTTGTAATTTATATAAACGACCTACCTGGAATTAGTGATTTTGCAAAGTTCATCCTTTATGCCGACGACGCAAACATATTAATTAGTGGAACCACCCTAGAAGAAATACAATTAAAAGCTAATCAGCTAATTTCACGTCTTGTAGATTGGGTAGGTGCTAATGGGCTATCTTTAAATGTAAAAAAGACGTGTTACATGATTTTTACTAGAAAAAGAATCGACTTCAGCGGCTTTAATTTGTCCATTGACAACACTGTAATCGAACGTAAGACTGAAGCAAGATTTTTAGGAGTGATCCTAGACGAAAAGCTCACTTGGCAAAAACACATTACGGCAGTTAGAATAAAGATGGGTCGCTACCTCGGAGTTATGTATAAGCTAAAGCACCTTCTACCTATCAAAGCCCGCCTAAACATTTTCCAAAGCCTTATCCAATCCCATCTAAATTTCTGTTCTTTAGTGTGGGGATTTGCCTCAAAATGTCACATTGAATCTCTGTTCACCAAGCAAAAGCAGGGAATTAGAGCTGTTATGTCAGGATATGTAAATTATAGATATAAAGACGGCAATCCCCCGGAGCACACAAAAAGTGCGTTTAGATTGCATAATATCCTAACAGTCCATAGCGTCATTGTAAAAAACGCTCTTATTCTACTACACAAAGTAAGGAACATGCCAAGCCTTCTCCCTAAATCCATCAAAGAACTTTTCCCTCACGATATTCCCACCTATAATTCCACATACGAACATAACCTTTCTTGGTTCACAACTTACAACGGCCCAACATTTAGAAATACTCTTTTCTTCAAAGGACCCATGCTCTCTATTACAAAACAAAGTAAGGATATAACTATTCCAAGTTCTACCTTTTCAATTGAAATCTTTAAAAATTCAGCTAAGCGCGAACTCCTCAAGCTGCAAAGCTCAGGAGACGATGAAAATTGGCCAAATTTCTTACTTTATAGTATACCTGGGCTAAGAAAGTCTCAAAGAGAAGGGCGCTCGCAGATAGACTACAACACCGAGTTAGTAAGCGACAACGCGTAAAGAAAGATCACTCGCGACAAATGACCATGATCTTTTATCAACAACATATCATTTTAATTTCACTGCCATTATGCAATGCCGAATTTACATCTGCCGCGCAAAACTTTTTATCTATTATTATTAAATAGTAATTAGCATGTTTACAAATTGCGACTTCAACCAGTTTTGCAGACCGTTAGTTATATAGTACTTTTAGTAGGGCATTTATTTTAATATATTTTATTTTACATTATTATATTTTAGTGTGACTTCTATAATTTCATTTATGTAATAACCATTGATTAATAAATTGCGGCACACGCCAACCTCCACCGTGGGGTTTCAAAACAAAAGCTAAACTTAAAGTCTGAGTCACATACATCAACCTGTTATTTCAAGCAGATTGATATGGATTCTTGAATTTCTGGTACAAACAATCAACTTTACCGTACTAGTTTATCAGAAATAATACTAAAGACTGGGAATCCAATGAGACTATAATCTGACTATTAGATCATGCACTTTGTCTAGAATACCAGACCACTGTACCTAGCCTGAAGGTATGACGTATGTGAGGAATTTTCATTGGTTACCGGCTTAAATTGACCATCACATACGTTGTTCACCCCACATACCTGTTATTTCAGGCAGATTGATCTGGATTCTTAAATTTCTGGAACAATCAACCAACTTTACCGTAATAGTTTCTCCGGAATAAGGCTGGGATCCGAGGAGACTATAATCTGACTATAAGATCAGGCACTTTGTTTAGAATACCACGAATGTAAGAATCCAGACCACGTTTCTGATTCCTGGAGGTATGCGAGGAACTGAGTTCTCATTGGTAACCGCTTTCAATTGACAATCACATACGAACACGTCAATCAGATGGAACGTATGATTGCGGTGGGTGCGGAATTACACTAGCTGTTTCTCACACATCTGCTCTAAAAACCGCTCTTTTCCCCACAATTTGGAACTTCCCGCACAATTTTTCACAATTTTAGGTATATATAAAAACCAACAATCTATCAACAAATTTGGGCGAGTCCAGTATTGAGAACAATTTGGGCGAGTTCAGTATTGAGAACAATTTGGGCGAGTTCAGTATTGAGAACAATTGGGGCGAGTTCAGTATTGAGAACAATTTGGGCGAGTTCAGTATTGAGAACAGTTTGGGCGAGTTCAGTATTGAGAACAATTGGGGCGAGTTCAGTATTGAGGGCAACAATTTGGGCGAGTTCAGTATTGAGAACAATTTGGGCGAGTTCAGTATTGAGAACAATTTGGGCGAGTTCAGTATTGAGAACAATTTGGGCGAGTTCAGTATTGAGAACAATTGGGGCGAGTTCAGTATTGAGAACAATTATTGGGGCGAGTTCAGTATTGAGGGCAACAATTTGGGCGAGTTCAGTATTGAGAACAATTTGGGCGAGTTCAGTATTGAGAACAATTTGGGCGAGTTCAGTATTGAGAACAATTTGGGCGAGTTCAGTATTGAGAACAATTGGGGCGAGTTCAGTATTGAGAACAATTTGGGCGAGTTCAGTACTTCAGTATTGAGAACAATTTGGGCGAGTTCAGTATTGAGAACATTATGGGTGAGTTCAATATTGAGAACAATTTGGGCGAGTTCAGTATTGAGAACAATTTGGGCGAGTTCAGTATTGAGAACAATATGGGCGAGTTCAATATTGAGAACAATTTGGGCGATTTCAGTATTGAGAACAATTTGGGCGAGTTCAGTTAAAAATTAATACTACAGCATGCTAAGAGATCCTTTTAACCATTTCTTGATGGTTGAGCTGGAAGTGGAACGTATACCGGTACACATCTAGATAAACAAGCTGCGATGCAAGTTCACTCTTTCCCCCAGTATCTTGTGAACTATATTATTTTGAAGGAGTAGACTGTGGTCGCGTCGGGGTGGCTGACTTTAAATAAAGAGGATTTTGTTTGTTACTCGATGACTCGATGAGTCAAAACCAAAATGGGTAGCTGTTTCGACTTTTGAATTCTGCTTGTTATAAGGAGTAAGGACTAACGAGGTCTGTGATGTAATCACAAAGTTCCCACCAAGAAAGATCAGCAACCCGTATTTTGTCGGTCACTTTGGACTCGAGCAGAATAAATTCAATTAAAGTATACTGCAGATCAATTAAATACAAGAATAGCAATTTATCGGGGACTCTCAAAACCGGTTACCATCGTCTGGCGATCTAATTACTTTTTAATACTTTCAACACTACTATATAACAAATAATTTGAGCCTAAAGATGGCGTTGACGCCGAAATTTTGCCTACATTCCTAACTTCCTGTTTCATTTTTCCTTGTCTCTTCCAACCGGATATTATCTAACTATCAGTATGTAATTACTTGGTCTCCTATTACTTTGCGCGCTTATAAGCCCAAGCATTGGGAGGAGAGCTCACATTAGAGCAGTTACTAAAACTGATAGTCGAGTTGTTGTTTTTATCAGCAGATTTTTTTGGATTCATCAGAGATGATGCTTCATTCATTTCTAAAGAATATAACAGTTTGGCCACGCTTATAAATTAACGTTCAGATTTAATTATCATTATATCTGTCATTAGGATTACCCTGCAGGAATATGATCATGTTATGATGAATGTTAAGTCGTTGAGAATGAATAAACACATACAGGCTTTTTAATAGAGTGATACGCTGTTGCGAGTCAATGGACACATGATAAAGCTGCTAGACACTAGAAATTCTCTGTAAGGTCTATGAACATAGTACCCCTCTCCTTTTTTAAAAATAGGGTTACTAATCTTCTGGAAAGCCACAATTGTCTGATACCAGGTACAGCCAAATAAAAGTATTACTTTTACATCCGAGAACTCTTACTTTCCTCCCAACTCATCCTGGCGTGAATCACGACGCGTGATCTCTTCTCACCTCGTCACGTGATCTCTTCTCACCTCGTAATCAAATAAGATCGTTGAAGGAGGCGGTATATAAACCAGCAGTCAGCATGGTGCCAACAGTTACTCAGCACCTATCGACGACGTGGTCTTTTGTCTGTTAGTTCAAACGTTATTACTAAGGAAGTTTGAGTTGAAAGGCGCCGGGTGATTCGTTGAATTACATTATGTGGTAATATTGCATTTACTCCAATCAAAACAATCTTTATATATTTCTTAATGAATGATAATCCGTTAAAGTTGTTATCTTATCGGTCGTTTTGTTTAGCGATAACTTATCTCGTTTTAGCCTGCCGTTACAATAATACGTCATATTTTCTTTTAAACTAATAGATTCTATCTAGTTTATCAGTTCTACTATGTTCTATTACTTCACCCCAACCTTTTCGAAATTTCAATTTGACTCCAAGAAGTTACATCTGTTGCAGTGCTAAGATTATTTACCATAAAAACTCCAAAAAAACACTACAAATCTGTTACATTTATTGAGTATCATGTATCGACGTATCGTGATGGAAATATATTTATTTAACCAAACCCAGGCTACATAACATGAAGACTTTGTTGTAACTTGTATGAAAAGCATTAATAGACTATCACAAAATAGTTACTAAGTACCCAGACTGATATCAGCATTATGGACGGGCTTGATGGACTGACGAACCCCTTTATGGATCTTGACCAGGGAGGAAAGTGTCAGGCGTACTACATCTGGATTGATGGTACTGGAGAGGGACTCAGGTATGTACAGTATAACCCTGATGTACCGAAAACCCCGATATTATGTTGAAATTTGTAAAGCTTAAACAGGGTCGTTACATAACGTGACCACCACACAGCAAAGCAGCGAGTTTCACTGAGGATTGCCGATTGAACCCCCTCAGGAAAATCCTTAACAAAAAATCATATTTAATAATAATTCAAATAATGTCCCAGGGGTAAAACGAAGACACTGATGGAGCCCACAATGGATCCGGAGACACTTCCAGTGTGGAACTTTGATGGAAGTAGCACTATGCAGTCCCTTGGACAGAACAGTGACATCTACATCAAGCCGGTCGCTTGCTTCAAGTCAGTTTACTCATTACTCACCACCAGGAACTTTATTTGAGAGTACACTGTTAAAAAGTGTTGTAAAATGCGGTGTACTATGATTGCCTGCTTTAATGCGGTTTACAACCAAGTGCGGCTCACCCACAATCACTCACCAGGGATCCATTCCGACGTGGTGACAACATCCTCGTTATGTGTGAAACACTCGACCACGAGGGTAACGTCCATCCTACCAACAAGCGACGCAGCTGTTTTGAGAACATGGAGAAGTGTAAGGAGGTCATACCTTGGTTCGGAATTGAACAGGAGTACACCATGTTTGATTTCACTGGGAGACAGCCGTATGGGTGGCCAAGCAACGGTTACCCAGGACCACAGGTTAGCGACAGTTACTTTATAGTCGCGCGACTGCTATTTCGTGGTCGCGCGACATTTTGAAGTGGTTTAAAATATTTTTGGTCGAAAATTTCGTACCACGATTATGAAAGTTTCGTGTGGGATTGATCTGGTGTTAGATTGGTTCAGTTTCTACGATAAAAAATTAGGTCAACAATATTAATTTTGGGCTATGATTCATATCCTTGACGGATTCGGAAAGAGGCCCCACCATCAGAATTCAGAAACCATGGAAATACAACTATAAACTTTCACTGTCCATTTAACTTTCACTTTCACTTTCAGGGCCCCTACTACTGCGGTGTTGGATCTGACAAAGTAAAAGGAAGGAAGATCGTGGAGGCTCATTACAGAGCTTGTATGTACGCTGGCATCATGATCGCTGGATCCAACGCCGAGGTCATGCCTTCTCAGGTATGATAATCTAGTTTGATCTCATTTTCTTCACATCTAGTGTTCTCTTTGGTAATTTCATGTTTAATCCTGTTTAATCCTGTTTAATCCATCTAGAAATTTTGCCGCTGAAAATGTACTTTCACTGGAGCTGTATAAATTAATATATTTTCTCCCCTCTCCGATATTGTAAAAAATTAATCCATGATCAGACGGCCACACTTTTTCAAAATATTGAGGAACGATTTTAAAAAGACACCTCACCAACTCCACCTCAGTGGGAGTACCAAGTAGGTCCCTGTGAAGGTATCACGATGGGTGACCACCTCTGGGTTTCCAGATGGATACTTTCGAGGATTGCGGAGGAGTTCAACGTCGTTATCAGCTACGATCCTAAACCTATTCCTGGGGATTGGAACGGCGCGGGATGTCATACGAACATCAGGTTGGTTTTAATGGGCGAGATGCTTCTTTCGGGAATAAGTAATTCCTGCAGTTTAATTATAATTTGTATTGTTGCCAATCCACAAAGGTCAGAAATTCAGTTGGTCCGGTTTTATTTTGTTCGAGATAATCCGATCTGATATTTTTTGCTTCACTGTCCACGTGTCAAATCGTTTCCAGAAACTTCTGTATTGCTGCGTAAATTAATCAATAATTAGATCTCTTCCAGTTCATCAAATTTTCTTCATTCCTCACATGTTTGTTTGTTTATAGAACCCGTCCCCAATCTCGTATAGGAAAATGACTAAACTCAGGAGTCAGGTCTGAGTGTGAAAACGGGTGGTACCTGCGAGTGTGCTCATTCCTCACAGAACATTCCATATACAAAACATTAAAATGTTATAGCTTATCAGATTTAGACACTCTCTACTCTTTGAGTCAAAATAATTCAGGATTGATTTACAATGTATGTTCCTCTTTCTGTTCAACATTTTCCCCCAAATACCATCAGAACAAATCTGAATCCAGTAATAGAGAATTTATAATTGTTCCATTTAATTGCAAATTCATTGATAATCTTAACCTAAAATCTATTTTCTCTGACACTTCAGTCATTGATTTGCTTCCCATTTTGATTCAGTCTTTTACACCATTACAGATTTATTATGAGTATAATGATCCTATAAGTCTTTCTATTTGTAACTATGCTTCATTCTTAAAGAAACTTTCTATTTCTGATATTAAATCTATTTTAGGTAGTCCATGCGATTGTCACTCCTCCCCTTTCAATTATCCTCCTCATGGACATGTAGTTACTGGTAATTTAGATATTGTTGATAATGTTGAACTTAGGGAAGTACTTTCCTACGGTTGTAAATACAGAATTCCCACATTTAAATCTCCAGATGAGATATATATGTCAGTTACCGAAGCTGTCGATAAATTTATAAAATCAAAAAGTAGAAAGTACTGTCAAAAAGAAGTAAAGTTCAGCGATTGGAAGGAAAAAGTGTTATCAATAGTTTCCAATCGTATTGAATATTACAAGAAAAACTTTCCTGAAACATTTGAAATAAAAGAAAACACACTGGAAAAAGATGATGTTAAAAGAAGTCTTAAATTGCTGAAAAGTAAATACATTATTTGTAGTATCGACAAAGCTTCTGGTAATTTTTCATTTATTTGTAAAAAGTTTTATGTAAAAACTCTTGTCAATGAAATGGGTTTTGATCCTAATACTCTAGAATGTATAGGTAATGATACATATAAACCCTGTAGCGAAGACGAGACTCATTATGTCAATAAAATATCTGAGAGTCTAAAGGAGAGATTTAATGTACAAGTTGAAGATAAAAACTTGCGACTAGCACGCATCTTCTGGAGCCCTAAGCTTCATAAGAACCCTTACAAGGCGAGGTTCATTGCAGGTGCCCGTTTTTGCGTTACGAAACAACTTAACGTCCAAGTTAACTGTTGTCTGAAACTTTTGAGGAAATACTTCAAGAAATACTGCGAGGCAATCTACAACAACAGCGGTATAAACATGTTTTGGAGCATAGATTCCTCAAGTGAATTCCTTGAAGCTATCAAAAATAGCGATGTTTATAATATACAAGTATATGATTTTACTACTCTTTATACCAGATTAGACTTGATTGAAGTAGAGAATATGATTAATGAAGTTGTTGATTTAATATTTTCAGACCGTAATAGATATATTTGTATTTCTAAAAGAGACAGTAATACATGTTTCTTTTCCAATAAAACCTATGATTCTCATGCCTGCTTTAGTCAAGATGACCTAAAAGAGGCTGTTAAATTTATTATTTATAACACTTATGTCGTCTTCGGTGGGATTGTATTCATACAAACCAAGGGTATTCCTATGGGTGGAAATTCAAGTTCCCCTATAGCTGATCTCACTGTTGGCAAAAAGGAATTTAATTATATGAAACGTTTACTTCAGGAAAAGAAAATGGGATTAGCAAAGATATTATCCAATAATAAACGATATGTTGCAGACGATTTATCTATTATT